GCAAATGTATCACTATAAACTTCCAAATGTAAAAGTAGCTTTCCAAACTAAAAGTGAGATCATCTCACATTTTCTCATTAGACTTTCAAGTATAATTTAATCTTATCTTACTTTTAGGAAGAGGGCTAAAGATTTAAAAATTATATTTAACTCAAAATTTGATCTCTTCTAATGAAGTCTACTAAGAATATCACAGTGAATGTTTCAAGTATGTTTAAATCCAACTACAATATAAAAAGTAAATAAAACCAGTTCAGTATTCTAGAAATTTAAATTTTAAGGAGCAAATAAAAATTACCTTATCTACAAATTTTTTCAAAAAATTTTTCTTGGTACAAAACTCCACTGACAGGGAACTTTGGCATCAAAGCTAGTAGCATCTGCTATCGACTTGGAAACAGAAATGTGAGGTGGAAATGTATTTTGTTGGTAAACCTGAAATACCTGCATGTTCACTGCTGAAGAACTGAGGAAACCAAGACAAAATGTGGCCAAGAAAAGGCTATTATTTATACAAATCTGCAATCAACTGAAAGGACTCCAAATATTTCAGGAGCACAGGCAAAGCTTCCTGGCTCCGAGTCTCTTGGTGCAGAACATGAATGCCTGAAATTGCTGCACATAACATAACCAGTGAAATCTCACAGCCTTTCATTGTTTTACTGGCCAAAATGTTCACCTATGCTGTATTCAGTTGTATGTTTACATGTAAGTAACTGCACACAGAGCATATTTAACATACACAACATCTCATTACAAATGATACCACCACACAACTGTTTTATATACACGTGTGTGAGCACATGTGCACACAGACATGGGTAAGCTATCCAAATATAGAATGTGAATGTTGAACAGATACTAGGCAACCATTCCTCTTACTATACCATGTCAGGTCTTCCTTTCTCATCCTATCATACCCCATCAGACACTTCAAAAATGGGAGGTCTAAGCTCTTTTGTAGATAAAACCAAAATTATGCCTTTACTATTACACTCACATTTAAGATTCAGAGACAGAGTCAAAAATAAACATTTCATGTCAAAAAACTCTGAAATTTTTAACTCTTTAATTAGTTCCTCTCCCTCCATTCACCCTTACTTTTCAGAAATATTGTTCACACTACATAAACACACGCTTTTAGTTACATGGAAAAGAAAATTTTTTTCCAGAACAAACCAAAAATATAAAACATAGGTAAGAATCCTAGAAATTGCTCAGCTGCCTTAATAACCCCAAAGAAAACATTTATTTTAACCAAACAATTGTAATGTTTCTCTCCTTTTTAGAAACATCTGCTGCCAGAATAAACATTTGTATTGGAAGAAGTATCTTGGCTGTGAAGATGGTACCGAATAAAATGCTTATGTTCTGAGACAAATATTTTACTCAAAAAATACACACAGTGAAAAAGATACAGCCAAAAGGGAGAGAAGGTAAACACACAAATTAGAATACCAACTGCATTTTAAGTCGTCTTCAAAAGAATCTATTGTCAGATCACTTTCTACTTCAATTTAAAGTGGTATGTTCATCATTAGCAACACCACCAACAACAGGTGTTGGCGAGGATGCGGGGAAAAAGGAACCCTCTTACACTGTTGGTGGGAATGTAAACTAGTACAACCACTCTGGAAAAAAATTTGGAGGCTACTTAAAAATCTAAACATTGATCTAACCCCATGATCCAGCAATACCCACTCTTGGGATATACCAAAAGACTTGTGACACAGGTTACTCCAGAGGCACCTGCACACCCATGTTTATTGTGGCACTATTCACAATAGCCAGTTTGGAAGCAGCCAAGATGCCCCAGCATGATGATGGATTAAGAAAATGTGGTATCTATACACAATGGAATTTTATGCAGCCATGAAAAAGAACAAAATGTTATCATTCGCTGTAAAGTGGGAAATGGAATTGGAGAACATCATTCTGAGTGAGGTTAGCCTGGCCAAAGACCAAAAATCGTATGTTTCCCTCATATTGTGGACATTAGATCAAGGGAAAAACCAACGGGATTGGACTTTGAGCACATGATAAAGCAGAGCACACAATGGAGGAGTGAGGATAGGTAAGACACTAAAAAACTAGATAGCATTTTTGCCTCAACAGCAGAAACTAAGCAGATACCTTAAAAGCAACTGGGCCAATAGGAAAAGGGGACCAGGAACTAGAGAAAAGGTGAATCAGAAGAATTAACCTAGAAGGTAACACACTGCACAGGAATTAATGTGAGTCAACTCCCTGTACAGCTATCCTATCTCAAGCAGCAAACCCTTGTTCCTTCCTATTACTGTGTATACTCTCTCTTCAACAAAAAATACTAGAGAAAAGGTGAGATCAAGAAGAATTAACCTAGAAGGTAACACACATGCACAGGAAATTAATGTGAGTCAACTCCCTGTACAGCTATCCTTATCTCAAGCAGCAAAAACCCTTGTTCCTTCCTATTACTGTGTATACTCTCTCTTCAACAAAATTAGAGATAAGGGCAGAACAGTTTCTGCCAGGTAGCGAGGGGGGGGAGAGGGAGGGGGCAGATTGGGTGGTAAGGGAGGGGGTGGGGGCAAGGGGGAGAAATGACCCAAGCATTGTATGTACATATGAATAATAAAATAAAATGGTTTTCTGGGGGAAAAAAAATAAAATAAAATAAAGTGTTATGTTCAGATGAATCACCTTAACAAAAATAAATAATTTCCACTTGATTTTGCTACTTTCAAAACAACTTTCATATTCCATGCTTTGTTGTAAAAGTCTTCACAAATGCAGATTTTTTTGTGTTTGTTTCTTTGGTTTTGGGGGGAGGGGTGGCATGTGAATTGATGGTATTTGGGTTTGACCTCAGAGCAGGCTTTCTACCTCTTTAGCCACATTTTGCCAGCCCTTTGTGCTCTGGTTATTTTGGAGATGGGGTCTGGCGTTTTGCCCAGGCTGACCTGGACCATGACCCTCCTATTTTATACTTCCCACCAGAGCTGAAGTCAGGTCTTCCTGATCCAGCTTTTTTCTACTGAAAAGGAGTCTTACAAGCTTTTTTTTTTTTTTGCCCAGACTAGCAGGGAACTGCAATCTTCCCAATCTCAGCCTCCCAAGTAGCTGAGATTTCAGGCATGAGCCACTGATGCCAGCTCAGATATTTTTACAAACTAAAAAAAAATTCAGTTTTCCCATTATAAAAGTACTCACGAACTTACATCTCTCATTTTGCTTTCTTTTCATTTCCCCAGTTTTATAATTCTAACAGGTGTCACATAATCAAACATCTGGCAGCAAAGTAAAGATACTTCATATATCAATCCAACCTAGGAAAAATCTCAAGCTGCATGTCTGAAATCTTCTTAACAGAAATACAGAATACCTTCCATAGCCTATTTTTCCTGATTGCTATTTATTATCTACAAAAATTTTTCTTAAAGCAAGTTGGCAAAGGTCTACATATACATTAATGATCCCAGAGGACAAGAAAAATGAAACAAATAAACCTTGCTCTCTGGGCTGGGCGTGGTGGCTCACATCTGTAATCAGAGCTCCTCCAGGGGCAGAAATAGGGAAGACTGCAATTCAAGACCAGCCCAGCTAAGAAAAAAGTTCATGAGACTCTACTCTTAACCGATAAAAGCTGGAGGTTGTGATACAGGAGAATTGCTTCCACTAGCCCAGGCATAACTAAGACCCCATCTCAAAAATAATTAAAAAGCAGAAAGGCCTAGAAGTGTGGCTCAAGTGCTCTACACAAGCATGAAGTCCTGAGTTACCACCCACCCCCCAGAAAAAAAAAAAATCAGAAAAATTCAAGTCACCTAGTAAAATCAAGGCTTATACACCCTATAGTTTTGTATTAGATGAAATCAAACCAGCATACTTGTTAACCATCCCCAGGTTTGAATTTCAGAGACCTGGAGGCAGAACATTCTCCACAGAAGCATAGACAATTCATTTCCCCTCTCAACTCAATAAAAACCGAAATAGACTAGTTTTTAGGGAACCATGAAAACTAATCTGTTTAGGCATGTATTTGACTGACAACGTGGGGGAATCAGTAAGTGAAAGACCACAAATGAAGCTCCAGTTAATAAAAACTAAAATGATGTACTATCATCATACATCATGCCATGGTTCAATAACCCAGTCACGAGTAGATTTCAAAAGTAAAATTATCACCATACAAATCAAGACCCACCAAGCTAAATACTGAAATCAAACACACAGTGACCGTTTTTTTCCTGACTCTGAGACAAAAATTAAAAAAGGAGCAGAAATACTTTCTATGTTAAATTTCACAGAAGCACTACAGTCCTTTCTAATAGACAACTCATTTAAAATTCTTATCACTGGAGTGGAATGCCAGCCAGGAATCAAACGGTGACCCCTGAGCCAAAGACAACTTACCACTCAGCTGGTAAGTGGGCAACTCAATTTACAAACTTGAATTCCTGCATTTTAATCCTTTGCAGAACTATATGAGCAATATTAAATGAGCTGGATTCAGCTCATTAGAGGTTCATAAACCGAACACAAAGCTTTGGAAGGCATCCAAAGCAAAGTCATGCCTAGGTGGTGATGTCCACTCAATAAATACTCAATGTCATAATTATCTTCCAACTTTTTCCTTGAAGAACATAAGTAGCCATAACTACAACAATGCTGAACCAAATACATTAATCTTGGAAGAAGACAGATATAGGACTAGCAGCCAATCACAGTGTCAGGATCTTGTTTGTAGACACATCTATAATTTCCAAAACTGCAAACAAAGCAACTCACTGAAAATTACTCACCAGAGAACAGACTAAAGCTAAGTAAATAAACGTATGTGCTCTAATAACTTTTGCTCAAAACCTTCACTATTTCTGTTCCATTTCAAAACTATTAAGTACTATCACATAGACTTGGTATATATTTCCTTTAAAATGTATACACATTCAAAAAACATATTCTCAACTATTTTAGCTTTTTAAACTTCAAAACAAAAGACTATTATTTCAAAGCTGTATTATAACTAAATGAAAGGATAAAAAAGCAGATTATTTAGACCTTGATTATGATTTACTAAATATGGAAACTTGACATTTCTGCAGTCAGGATATTCAGTTTCTGGCCATACTATTTTTCTTCCATTATGAGAAAGATCTGTGCATTTAGAACTGGGCATTTCTTTTTGGTTAGCAGTAAAATACCTGATCTGAAGTCTTTATTGACAATTTGCTAAAATAATTAATGGACAATCTTCACCAATTTGTCCCTTCAACACATCTATGAGTTATCAAATTTTAAAAGTATGTAAGAGTCACCAGGATTAAATAAAACCAAGAAGCTAAGAAAATTGAGATTATAGATTTGTGTATACCCTCTACTTTTATCCTCACACATTTGGAAAAGAAAATAGTGAATTTTCCCAGATAACCACTCTTCACACACTCTCCATTTGTTTGCCTCCCAGTTTGGTTTTGCAAACTCTGGCCAATCTCTCAAACTTCTAGCAAGAAGTTAAAAGCACTTCTCACTTAGAGAGCAGATAAAGGAGTGTCCAGTTCTAGTGATAAAGAGCACCCTTTGAAAATGGCTTTGCAATCTCACCTAAGAGAAACATGGTAGAAAAGAAGGCAGGGAAACAGAGGTAGTGAGAACTCGCTTCTCTCCACTAGCCCTGCTAGTTCTTACTACCTTTCTACCTCTTTTCTGTAGCCAGAGTAGCAGGCAGAACTGTTTGCCCCAAATCAAATCAACTCGCAGAGTGCAAGGAGGACTTTACCTTCTGGCTTCCTGGGACTTCTTCCCCTCCTTAAGGGCAAAGTAGCTCTAAAATAAAAAAAGTCGTTGGCAGGGAGAGACAGAGAGAGGTGCAAAGTGAGACAGAAACTTTGCTGTCATCATTTACAAATTATCTCCCTCTCTCAACCAGCAGCCCCAGCAAAGATTTTTACTCTAGAAAGCAAAGTATCACTGAAGAAAGGAGAAATGTGAGGGAAGTTAAAGAGTCAAATGAAGTATGCAACTGACTGTGAGCTTTTGGAGCAGCCAATCTTAACAAACGCAGGGTGAGACCTCTAACCTGTTTTAAGGAAACAACTGCTAAGATTTAAAGGCTGAGCTCCTTCTATCTTTCCCCAGAACTCCCTTAACATAAAGGGGAAAGACAATACTCAAACTATAAAAGACTCAGAGGCAAGTTAATAAAGAACTCTTGGCACGCAGCTGTGTATCACATAAACTATGATAAATCCATAAATTGTTTTCCATATCTCTTTCAAGAGAAAAGTCAGTCCCACTTTTTTTTCCCACGAAAGAGTTTTGGTCAAATTCAGAGAAAAATTTCCTGAGGAAGTCTGTTAACCCCTGGAATGGGTTACTGGGAAGCATTATAGACTGCCCTCGTCTGGAGGCAATAAAAGGCACACCAGCATCAGCCCAACACACTCCCTGGGGGCATCAGGCACAGGTGCAGCAATGCATAAGTAAGCCTTTTTGGTGTTCTTATTAACTAAATACCCTGACAAGTCTGAATCTAATTTAGTCTTTTTCCAAAGTTAATGCTTCCTCAAGCCAACCTAACAAGGGCAAACTCTGGAGTATCGAAGACTATAGGCTTATACTACTACAAGCACGTTCCTGTACAGTAACTTCACTTAATTCTGAAAAGGAGAAAAACATCAGGTCTTTTGTTTAAGAGCAGGACAAGTCTCTGTTATTTAATAAAAACACAAACTCACTAAGATCTAAGATGACAGATCATATTCTCATGTGAAATACAGAAACCTTTTCCAAAGGTACAAAAGAAATAGCTTGTTAATAAATAAAAGCAAAGTAACTCTTTGAGAGACTTAAAATGAATTTAAGTTGATGCTACCTTCACAGAAAAGACCACTGAATGACTCAAAAATTCACCTAAAGATAGTCTATTCCCAATTCAGAATCTGACCTCAAACATGTGAGAATGCTACATTCACTTCAGAGCTTACATCTATATAATTTCCTGCAAAATCATGACATGGTCCGTCTTGCAAATACAGCCAGCACTACTGTACTGGTCTTCTACCAAACAGGTGTTTTCTACTTTGTTATAAAAAGTTCAACTTGCCAACTTTAAAACAAAGAATAAAAATTTAAGCAGAAAATCACAGAAATGGCCCCTAATTCTTTTAACACCAATCCTAGATAGACAGTAAAAGATAAAGAGCAAAAAAGGAAGGCAAGGAGAAAAACTAGCCCCCACCTGCTGCTGCGGGTACTGCATGCCTCCCAGGGCTCCCGGGGCCCGGCCCTGCATGCCGAGGGGGTACCGCTGTGTTCCTGGGGGGCCATAGGAGCCTCCTGGATACGGACTGCTCTGCTGCTGCTGGGAGTGGGGGTTACTACCCATCCCATACAACTGCGGTCTCTTCATCACCATTGGATCCATTGGACTACCCTGTGAAGAAATAAACAGAGACATCAATTTATTATTCATGATAGATGCAGAAATTCTTCCTATAGCAACACATGCACTGAAAACAACTATCCTAATTTTGAGTCTATTAAAAACAATCCAACAAATAAAAATCCAGAAGAATGCTAAAAAAAAAAAAAACTAAACAGATAAAAGACTTTTTTTTTTAACCTTCAGGAAGATTTTTAATAATTCAGAGGGATTCAGAGTAAATAATATAAAGATTGTACAGCCAGGTGCCAGTGGGTCACGCCTACAATCCTAGCTACTCAGGAGGCAAAGATCAGGAGGATTGCAGTTCGAAGCCAGCTCGGGCAAATAGCATAAGAGACCCGATCTCAAAAAAACACCATCACAAAAAAGGGCTGGTGGAGTGGCTCTAGGTGTAGGCCCTGAGTTCAAACCCCAGTACTGCAAAAATATTTAAATAAAAAATAAAATTATACCATTCAAAGAGAAAATAAAGATGAAGGTACATATCACCCAGCTCCTTTGAACTTAATAGTAATAAGGACACTGGGTGATTAGCAACACTTTCTGACTTTAAAGTACCTTTATTTATTTATTTTTATTTATTTTTTTTTTCATTTTTCTTTTATTATTCATATGTGCATACAAGGCTTGGTTTATTTAAAGTACCTTTAGAACAATGATTTTTAAACCTGAGTCTACAAGTTCTGATCAAGTATTAGTGTATCTGAGTGTTCACTGAAATGGACAGGTTAGTTTTTAGATAATACAAACTATCTAAGATAAAATTTTCCAAAGATCACTAAGTATGTAATAAGCCCCTGACTGTGAGTCACAAGCCTCCTTCCCTGCATAAGTAAGCATGTTACCAAGCATAACCAGGTCAAGACTAGACTCTGAATTTTATTTTTGGTCTGGTGAGTCAGTTTCTGGACCTCAGGGCCAACGCCATCCGGGTAAGCCAGGAGCAGAGCCTCAGTGGAGCCCTTACATCCTGGGCACAGCAAAAGAGCAGGGCAGTGTGGGAAAACGCCTCACCCAGGGTCACAAAGGCCTGTGGTATTCACTCAACAGATACTTCTTCCCTTCCAAAACCACATGTCTACCCTCTCTGTGCACCAGGCACATGGCGATAAGCACAGGGAGCTCTCCACAAGGCTTGAGGACTAAGGATAAATGGGAAGAAGAGGGTCAAGGTGAGGAGAGGCAGCGACAAAGCACAGGCTCAAGGTCGATCGTCTGCCTGGTGTGAAGAAATGCAATGAAGCAGAAAGCTGAAAAGAATCTGAAGGAGGCAGAAACCACAACTGTGTCTGCAGCCTGGGGAGTAAAGTCTGACCTAGAGAGTGAGGAGGGAAGTCAGCATAGCCAGGAGGCAGACATATGGAGGGTAGGGTTCTTTGCTTATTCACTATTAGCTCTCCAGGGTGTAAGTCAGTGTACTTGGTACATAATAAATACTCAATAAACACTAGCTGATTTAACAAATAGGAAATAAGCAAAACCATTAACTACTTCAGAATATATGAAATGAGAGACAAGTATGGTGGTACATTCCTATAATCCCAGCACTCAGGAGACTGAGGGAGGAGGATCAAGTTCAAAGCCAGCCTGGGCCACACAGTCACACCCTATCTCAAAAATAAATAAATAAAACAAGATGAATATGTGAAAAGAAAATCATAGTAGGTAAATAAATCTTAGAGAACATCACAACTTAAACAAACGAAGAAAAAACAATAAATTCACAAAGAGGTCAAAAGAATGGTCAGAAAAGGTAAGTCAGATTCTAGATTTCAGACAGCATGGTGTCATGGGAGAGAAGGGAATCCCAGTCAGCAACAAAACAGATCTGCGACACACAGCCCAGGGGCACTACAGCAAAGGTTAAAACATGCACACACACTTGAATAGGAGGTACTTGCTTAGCTCAGCAAGGACAGACTCATTTCAGTGCAAGGACAGAAACTAGGAAAGCCAGAAATGGAGGTATGACACTGAGGTCAAAAGGGAAGCTGTGAGAACTGCCAGTCCCCCTGCCCTCCTATCCCGAAGCTACAGGGGGTCATTTTCCCTTTTTGGTTGACCAGCATTCATTTTAACAAGTTGATGATGTTTGTGTGCATGGATTATGATAATGTTATTAGTGACTATGCATTGTGTAAGGCACTGGAAGCACAGAAACAGGCAGCCTCTGTACCTGTCCTGGAGATTCACTAACAGACAGAAACAGACATTGGAATGACTGTTGTTCGAGGCCAGCCAAGGAAAAAAAAATTATGAGACCCCCCCCATCTTAACTAATAAAAAGCTGGCTGTGGTGGTGCACACCTGTCATCCCAGCTTTGCAGGAAGAATAAACATGAGGATCACACTCCAAGCTAACCCAGACATAAATGCGAGACCCTACTCAAAAAATAACAAAAGCAAAATGGGTTGAGGGGTATGTTTCAAGTGGTAGAGCACATGCCTAGCATGCATAAGGTGCTGAGTTCAAACATACTCTGTAGACGACATGTAAAGCTCAGCCTGAAGGCATCCAGAGGAACTGGCCAGGAGTTGATCCTACATGTACCAAATATGTGGATGGAAAGCACAAGAGGAAATGGGTGTCCTGCCTTAGTCCCACCTCCTACAAAGAACATTTCTGCTTAAAATTCACAATTATATGGAATTTTAACTATATCACTTTCCTCACCAACCAAAAAATTTTAGACTTAGTATTTTCGACAAAAGGAAGCTGGGCTTGGCAGCTCACACCTTGTAATCCTAGCTACTTAGGAGGCGCAGATGAGGAAGATTGTGGTTCAAAGCCAACTTAGGAAAAAGTTCACAAGATCCGGTTTCAAGCAATGGCCTGGCACGCCTGTCAGCCCAGGTACGTGAGGAAGCACAAATAGGAGAATAACAGTTCAGGCCAACCAAGGCATAAAGTAAGACCCTATCTCAAAAATAACCAATGCCAAATGGGCTGGAGATGTGACTCAAGTGTACGCACCTTCCTATCAAATACAAGGCCCTTAGTTCAACCCCTCAATACCCACCACTCAAACAATATGACAATTGCTGTTATAAGACCTGTGCTGGGCTCACAATCACACTTGCAAACATGCATGCTGATATGCTTGTGCAAACACCGAAATCTAGGACTAAGAGTTTTCTCAGAGTGATTTAAATTAGAATTTATGCCTGAGAAAAGCAAAATATAATTCTTTCCCAGATTTTCTATCAAAAGATAAAAAAGCCTGAAAATCAAAGTGGAGCTGGTTATTTCAAAACCAGCCAAAAGAATGAGTGGCCCACGGACAGGCTGAATAAATAACATTTCAGGCTAAATGTCTAATACAAGACCCTGCAGCAGCCCTGACTTCATTTTAGATCTGGATTGCCCAAAACATAGGAAAGGCCTACACTTTAAGTAGTGCTCAACCAAAACTGGCTTAATTAAAGTAGCAATTTTAAAAGTAAAAATGATTGGATTATCTCTATTTTAGTGCTATAAATAGTTGCAGCAAATTTATCAGTAACTAGAAGTATTTTGTAATACATTGCTCATCTTTGCTATTAGTTGAGTCCTACTTAGAATTCAGTTAATTTGCACTCATGTCAAAAATATTAGCTTAACCCTGAGGTTCCTGAAAATCAAAAGCATGAAATACAGATTATCCATACTTCTCAAAATGCAACAAATGTCTATCAGTGAGCCTTTAGACATAAAAACACTTATAGTACAGATTATTTAATTTTAACCTAATGTCCTATTAAACATTCATCTACAATCCAAATTTATCCCACTGTGTACACTATTTTTAACATTAAAATATGTGCAACTGTAGAATCTCAACACCCCATTTTTCGTTACTCACTCTTTAAAGAAACCAAAATCCAATAAGTGTGGCTCAAGTGGTAGAGGCCTGCATAGCAACCACAAGGCTCTAAATTCAAAACTCAGTATCACAAAATTTTTTTTAAAAGCCAAATCAAATCTAATGCTATTCCAGAAAAACATAAAGGCCAAGGTGCTTCTCACTTGAAATTTCATATTTTCATCATCTATCCTTCTCCTGACATACTTCCAGAGTATGATCATTTTCATTTCTCATATAAAATTTATGTTATATCACAGACAACATCCACATTAAGAATTGTCCTCTTCAGATGTGGTGATGCACACGTGCAACCTCAGCTACAAGGGAGGGGGGAGACAGAAGGCCAAGGGGGTAGGGAGTGGGGTGTCAGGGAGACCCTGTCTCAAAAATAGGCCAAATGGACGGAGACACACACACACACGCACTGTATCTCCTTCAGGGCGCCTACATCTTCTAACAGCCTCTCGTTTCCCATCCCTGAGATTATTAATGAAGGAAGGAGTACAATGTAATTTTCTTAAATACATTCATGTACAGATTCTACCCATACTGGGTAGACGGCATAGGTCAGCCAAATTATATATTAAACAAGCTTTCAGGAGCTGACCTGGAATCCCCTTTGGAAGATTATCCCACTTAAAGGACAATGTACAGCCAGGTGTCAGTGGCTCTCATCTGCAATCCTAGCTACTAGGTAGACTGAGATTGGGAGGATCAAGGTTTGAGGCTAGCACAGGCAAATAATTTGCGGTAGTCCGTCTCTAAAATATCCACAGCAAAATGGTAGAGCTCCTGCTTTACAAGTACAAAGCCCTGAATACAAACCCCAGTCCCATCAAAAAAAAAAAAAAAAAAAAGCTAGGCGTGCATCTGTCATCCCAGTGACAGCAGGAAGCCTAAAATAGGCAGAATTAGATCCATAATGAGAGCAAAAAGGGCTGGAGGTGTGGCTCAAGTGGTAGAGGACCTGCTTAGCAAGTGCAAGACCCAGAGTTCAAACTCCGTTACTATTCCCTCCCCCCCGCCAAAAAAACCAATTTGCATATATACTTCCAGTATACTTTAGATATTTCTTCATTATCATTCTTTCAGAATATCTATTCATGTATTTATAGTAAGCATATTTGTGTAACTGTATTTGCA